TGTATTGCTAAGAAAATAGCAGATTATTTCAGCATGTGAGCTGTCAGAGCTCTGGCAACACAAGAGCTCTCTTGTTCCTGTTGCCTCCCACAGCTGCCTTCACTAAATATATCCTGGGCAGAGAACTGCATTTCTCCACCCCTTTCTCAGCCCAATCCAGCCTGCACAAACATCATCAGGCTCACTCGGGACAGGCAGTCAGGCAGCATCGATGCCCTAGTTAGAGGCATCATGGAGGACAGAAAAGACTAATAATGTCTGCAACAGGGTGAAATTGTTACATCTTTTGAGAGGGAATGCGTGCAGCTGATGGATATGTAACTGTTAAAAACAGGGTGGTTTGTTCTCCATAAAGATACACCCCATTTGTACGTCAGAATCAGTTGCTGGATGTTATTCCCATGGGATCATTTTCAATAGCTTGTGGAAAAAAGAACTGGTGATCTCGGAGCAAATTCAAGCAGAATTTGGTCACCTCTATAAAAAAAAATTCAGCTCCTGGCAGATTTAGAGGTGAGCAGTGGTCTTCAGTGCCTCAAGGACTGGCTTGGCAACAGAGAGCAATCCCAGTTTACCTTCCATCAGGTCAAGGCTCCGTGGCATGTTGTTTGATCATGTATCTGCCTCTGGGGAAAAAAACCCTATGACTAAATTTCCACAGGGCCAAGCTGCTTCCCCCGTCACCTCCATTCTGCTCTCCACACTTCTCCTGTCCCCACCTTGCGTCTTTTACTTGCAAGGACACAGATTCTTTGGCCCGGCACAATGGAGCCTTGGTCCCAACTGCAGCCTTTAAACACTGCTGCAATGACAGCAACAAAGAGGAGGAAGAGCTTCCTTTTCTGATATAGTTAATTCTATGGTGGATCAAATTCTGGCAGAAAAAGTAATCTTGGTGGCTTTCCTCGCTTTCAAGCTGTGAGCCAGCAGGGATTTTGACCCTCCTGGTCCCCACTTCTTCCTTTCCTCACAGTTCCCTATTTCTTCAACACCTCCAGCTCCTCTAGCAGCAAAGCAAATTTGACAGAATCTGGTCAATTTTTCAAGCTTTCTCATTTTAAGAAGTCAGTGGGAGCCGACTGTATCTTGCAATCGAACCTCATGGGAGGAAGAATTAAATACCTCATGCATGACCTTGATCCGAGGGATTTTGTAGATAGTTTTTCTTGTAATATCAATATTCAGAGCTTATCATGCATTCAAATCATATATGTAGCCCTAGAACATTTTGCAACAAAAAGAACCCAAATTAATTTTGATATAATTATGCAGTCACACAAGTCACATGCTTGCTGTGGAATAAATATAAATACTGAGCTTTTGGGAATAACCGGCAGACTTAAATCAAAATGTAAAAAAACCCCAAGAATGAAAGCTATCTATTATATAAAGAAAAAAGATCAGTTTTAGATGTCAAATTGCAGTAAAAGAAAAATGGCACAATGTATGTATGAAGTGTCTTTTAATATCTCCTTTTTTCAATCTGCAAAACATAAAAGAACGAACCTAAACTCATACTTAAGCATCCACATAAAGTAAGGACCTTATTTTCAAAGGTGGTAATGTCATGAGGTATTTAAAACCTCTGAAATCAGATAATTCTTTCCCAAAATAGCCACAGGTCCCTAAGCTTAATCAAACAGTTGAAAGCTAGAAAAGTTAGAAAATTGTGCTGTGTTTTTTGTGTCTTTCCTACACATCACTCCTTCTCTGCTTTTCTTGCCTTCTTGAAACAAATTGTCCTCAAAGACTGTTCTAATTTCGTATTTGGAAATTGCCACTATTTTAATTAGCAACGTTGCTGTAGAACTACACCCTGCTGCACCGGTTGTGCTGAAAACGAGCCTTGTTCGCTGGGGACAGAAATGGTTTTGCCTGCTCTGATCTCATAAGGTCTGCTGGATCCTATGAATTTCTGAGCGCACGTAGAAAGATGTAGTCTCATCTATGTGCTTTTAAGAAGGAAATACAAAACATGAAACCAGATGTTAGGACTGAGCCACAGAGAAGCCACGGGAGTGCGAGTTACCTTCAACAATACTGCAGTTCTAAAAGCAAACAAAGGCATAAGAAGCTGGGATCGAAGGTTTCATTCCTCAGACAAGGCAGTGACTCACCCACATTCCCAACTGCTCAAACAAGGGAGGCAAATGCTTCTCCTGGTAGACCGGATCCTTTGCGTTTTATTGTGCAGAGCAAATCCCAAGCAAAGGCAAGCGGTGGTGGTGGCACATTGCAGCAGACACAGCACAGGGCCAAACATGCAAGGGACCCTCCTTCGCAAGCCGCTGTATTAGCTTGCCTCCTTGAAAAAATTCAAGAGTTCACAAGTTCTGCTTTTCACATCTGAAAACGCAATGAAAAGAAAAAGCGCTACTACTAACAATTGCTTTTCAAGAGCCAAACTCATCTTTTCTTAGATACCAAGGTTTTCTGGAATTGCTAAGAGGCAGTAGTTGACTTTTTTTTTTTTAAACAATCCAAGGACAAGGAAAAAAAGGTAACTGAACAGAGAGCCAAGCAGTGTGTAAGGTGGATAAGGTGCTGTTTCTAGCCATCAAGGTATCCATCCGGGAAAATTTGACCTAGGGATACAGAAACTCACTGTTCTAAACACCTGTTCAGTCATTCCCAACGTACAAAGCAGACTTCATTGATGAAGGACAAGCATGTTCGAGGTGAGAGACAGCACAGAGCCAAGCTGCTGACTATGCCCAGCTCCACCCTTCCTGCCTGGCTGTCTGGGACATGGGGAGTGCTGTGCAGGTCCCTGGATGGCAGGGGCATCAGCTGAGCTGCTGGGTGGCAGCAACGGAGCCATCAGCAGCAGGGATGAGGAGGAGGTGGTAGAGAGGCTAGATGTGAGGAAACAGGACCAAAAAGAAAAGGAGCACAGAAAGCAGAGAATGTTGCTAATTTTCTAGAGAAACTCCAGGAAGCCAACATCTTTAAACTATTAACCTCAAAGAGGTTGTGGTTAGGAGACAAACATTGCTGGGTGACGGAGCTACAGGGAGGGCTACAGGTAGGGCTATACCTGTGCCCAGGGAGAGATGTCTCAAAGCCACGATTCATCTGGAGCCTCCCAAGGAGCGGGGCTGGGTAGGTGGTCCCCTCTGTAGCTGTGCTAGGGCTCTGCTGGGTGAGGTTTGTTCATCTTGTGCAATGAAGGATGCCAGATTATGAGCATAATATTCCCCTCTGGTTTCATATTTCGTGAAGCAAAATTAAGGCTGACACTCAATGTGTTCCACACTATACCAAGTTTTTCAATTCTCAGGTTTACAGTGGTAGCCAGACACCCCAAAACGACATGTTCATTCATTCCTCCTGGGAGGCAGCTCCTGAGGGCACCTGGAGCTGCTGCAGAAAGCAAATGGCAGCATTACCTAACAGGGAGGACTTGTTTGCTTAACAGTTATCAGCATAGGTTTGGCTGCTGACGGAGGGAGAGTCCTTGACAGCACAGGCTGCTAGCAGAGGAACACAAAGCTGTGTTATTAATGGAAGTATCAAGCCTCACACAGATAAAATAGGCTATCCTGGAGCTGAAGCCATGCCCAAGACATCATGAAAATGCCTGTTGCACTAACACCGCTGCTGTACTTGAAGCCTAGCCTCAACAAGCAGGGAAAGCACGCAAACCCGATCCTCCATGCTGCTGCAGATTTTGCTGGTGGCATTTGAAATATTTCAGGCATTTCAGACAAACCTCCTCAGACTGGAGCAGAGAGTCACCCATCGGGACTCCAGAGCTTAATATTAAAAAGAAAAATCTGTTTATCAAGTTGCAGAATAACTACTATCCATCTAGTTTATTAGATGGGAACAACAAAAGCAGGGGGAGATTTCGCTGACATGATTTCTCCCCGATTCAACACGCTGCCTTGATTAAGTGACTATTATGATCAGTGCAACAGCAAACAAACAATGCAAGCTCATTGTAAGGTATTTCCTCGTGCAAAGGCAGAGAAACCATCACAGGAGATGGACCCCGAACATATTATTAGCACGAGCCAGCCAAAATACTCAGTAATATCTGGAAACCCCAGTTCTGCCAGGCTGCTTGAGAAAGGCAGCATTTGTCCCCTGCCTTCGGCATGAAAATACAACTCAAATCCCTTCTCGGGAACAAAGGTGCTTCCCAGGAGCCTGGCGTGCTGCCGGCATGCCGAGCGCGTAGCCAAGCAACGGCAGCCAGATCAGGGCTTGCGCCTCACCAGTGATGCTCCAGCCTCCACAAACAATTCTTGCCACGTAGACAAGACCGTGCAGGGTAGTGGAAAATTACTGCAAGCTTTTTCTTAAAGGACAAGAATCTCTGTTGGTGGAGAAGGTTGGTCCGCATCCTGCTTCCCAGCACGCCCCAGGGTAATTTTTGTTTCCTGCGAGAAAGGCTGCAGTGCGTCACTAGCACACTGGGGCGTTAATAAAGGCAGATATCATTTGCATGATATTTCAACTGACTTCCGTGATAAAAAAATGTAAAGCAGAGAGCTAAGCAGCAGGCGGGGGGGGGGGGGGGGGGGGGGGGAACAGAGGC